TAAGTCTACCTCTTGCTTCAGCCTCGAGAACTGACCCATCACCACCGGCACTCATCCGCTTCTGGGACACGAGAGATGCCCACATTATCTCACTTGCTGTTAGCTACATCTTTGAGAGAGCGGGGTGTCTCTGAGCATCACTACGACAGAAGTTTGCCCAGGGACACGTGAAAACTGCCCATGGCAACAGCCTCACCTGACCCACTCTGCCAGCCTTCCCTGGCCTCCGAGTTCTACTGCTCCTAAGTCCTGTTCAAACCCCACTTATTCCTTCCTGGTAGTCTTTATTGGACAAGCGGCTCACAATGCCACCTCCTGAGACTTAACAGGCTACCTCCCCTATGCTACCTACCTACCCTCATATGTCAGCTCCTCTACATGCCAGGGCCTATCAGTCAGGCACTTTGAAACTCCGTATCACGGTGACGTAGCTCAGATAACTACAGTACACATTTCCCACATCACCAACATGTTTCACAATCACAAATTAGATGGTACAGTAGAGGTCAGAAAAAACGTAAAGGACAGTAAAGATTTCATGTTTGCAGGCGAGAACTGTCGCTTAACTTCGAATCTGCTTTCCACTTAGCACAGAGAGAAACCACAGAGAGTATGCAACACGTATGCATAGCGGGCCTTCAGGAAAAGTACACGGACAGGGATATTTGGGTTGTGCATAATTCTAACGCCTTATTACTATACTTCTTTAATTTAAAAATATTTGGAAAATACACAAATCACTCTTGGCTTGTGGCGCATACTAGTACAAGAGGGAGACCATACTGACCCGAGGAGCTTGACCTGTCATCCTGTACAGAAGACCATACTGACCCAAGGAGCTTGACCTGTCATCCTGTACACCTGGAGCTGTGTCATGTCTACTCATTATCCACTCTCACATATTTGCCTCACGTAAATATGAAGACACACATGCACATATATGCGCATTCAGGGTTTATTTTCAGCACTGGGGCCAGAACCCAGGCTACTGCACGTTAGGCAAGTGCTCTACCATGCAGCCACGGCTGCAGGCGTTAGCTCCCTTCTTATGGGTGCTGCGGGGTTTTAACTTAATTCCTATTTACCCCAATAATGCAGTTTTTTCCCTGCTTGAATAATGGACTGTCTTGGAGATAGTTCCATTTTATCATATATATATATATGTATGTATGTACATATATATCTTGTTTTAAAATTATTTATTTTTTTGTGTATATGTAATGTGTGTATGTGTGTGTGTGCACACGTCACAGCAAGTGTATGGAGGGCACAGGACAACTTTTCTCTCCTTCCATCTTACTTTGAGGCAGAGTCTCTCATTATTTTAAAAAGTTTTAAAAAATATTTATTATTTATTTATTGCAGTGTGTGTTGTGGTGTGGGGTGTGTGTGTGTTGTGGTGTGTGTGTATTGTGGTGTGTGGTGTGTGTGTGGTGTGTATGTGTGTGTATGTGTGTGTTGTGTGTGGTGTGTGTGTTGTGTGTGTGTGTTGTGGTGTGTGTGTGTTGTGGGGTGTGTGTGTGTTGTGGGGTGTGTGTGTTGTGGGGTGTGTGTGTTGTGGGGTGGGATGTGTGTGTGTGTGGTGTGTGGTGTGAGTGTGTGCATGGTGTGGTGTGTGTGTGTTGTGGGGTGTGTGTGTTGTGGTGTGGGGTGTGTGTACTCACACGGTGTATGCTACCACACTGTCACCCCATGAGATCAAAGGACAATGGTAGAGTCAGTCTCTCCTTCCGTCATGTGGGTCCAGGGAACAGAACTCCGGCTGCCAGGTTTGTGTGGCAAGTGTCTGTCCGGTTGAGTCACTGCCCTGACCCCTGACAATGCGACCTTCTTCAGTGACTCACCGAGGAAGGGGGTTGTTTGGGCAAACGCTGGTGTTCACCATGGCCAAGCCCCACTGCAGAGAAAGGGCTTAGAAAATGTTCAGCCCTTCTCAGCACCTCAGGGCCACTGCAAACAGGCAAATCTTCTATTGCATCTCACCTGCAGACCCAGACTCCCCTCCCTAATGAGTCGAGAAAGATGGCGGCACACATGCAAACCACCGAAACTTACACAGCATCTCCCATGCCCTTAATTTTCACACTGCATCTTTCCATTCCCACAGAGATACCCCGGTTCAGGAACGATTCCCACAGCTCCACAGTTTAGAGGATCAAAGCAATTGATTCACGGGAGGTATCAGAGCTAACAGGGTCTAGACGGCGAGCTGGAAAGTGGGAGGGGCTCCCCTCTTCCCATCATACACTACAGATGGCTTACAGTACATACTCCAGAGGTCATACCCGGAATTTGATGCTGTGTATCTTGTTTAAAAGCTCATTATGCAAAATACAATAATTATTAATTATTAATAATTAAATAAATTCCTGAATTAGTGTGCAGACTAAGATATCCTTAGGAGATATTTTTAAAAATGCCAATACCTGCACACAACCTGCAATTAATGAACTCAGAAGCTCTTGGGGCAGGTGGCCGATACCTACTGGTCTCTTATGTGATTAAGTACAACCAAAGCTGATCTATTCTGCGTTCTCTGGCCCTGGTGTCCCGGCAGTCAGCTGCTATTCCCAGCTACCAACCTCCAACCCCTGTGAATGGGGACTCAACAGTAGTTTGGGTAAGGAGGCAACCATTAATTAATTAACATTAATAATCAGTTAATCACATTAATTATAATCCACCACACATAATTATCCAATTTAAAATTTAATAGAATTGATCAGTTAATATCAGTAACAATAATTACTATTAATTAGTATTAAGTATTAGTGGCTGAGTCTGAAGAGCCGGCTCTCATCTGCAGAGTTCACCCATGTGTAAAAACATCACCATGTTTTCACACCTTCCCTTTGAAGCCAGGGACACCCCTCTTACGGAAGACAAACCTGACTTCAGGACACTTACGCTGAGCCCCCACTAACAAAGAACCCGGGGCAGCAGACACTAGCATGAGCTTCTAAGTCTGCATTTTGTTCCCCCCACAGTCCCGTGACCTCGGATAAGTCAGTCACCTGGCTGTACCGTCTGTTTACATGGAAACAGTTTAAGCACCTACACTGAAAAGATTGAAGGTGAAAATGTGCATGGCTGTGTTACAATCTGGGCCCGCCCCTTTATGTCTTTTGAAAAGAACTGTAGGTGGGAAGGAGCACCATCTAAAACCAGAGCGTCCTGATGATCGATTTGTAACAGGTAATCAGATCTGATGTCTCCTCTAACACAGCCAGTGGAAACTATTCATGTTCTTAGCCACAGAAGTTTCCAGATCTCCCCGGGACCAATTCCAACCAGCCAGACTAGCCTGTAGGCATTGTGAGGACTAGGTGACCTCTCTAAACCAGCAGAGTCATGCAGGATGACAGGGACACTTTACCCAAGAAGGGTTCTTATTTTTATCTCCCTGAAGAAGGGCTGAGCCAGAGAGGACAGAACTGCTCATGCGTCATGGGCTCAGCCCAGGCCCTCACTCAATCTGCTGCTTGAAGGCCTGGGCTCTTGCCAGGTCATTCTGCACAGGCAGCCTGCTTCTCCCCGATGGCAGGTGAATGAACCAGGCCTCAAGGGGACTTGCATGCCGTCACCCTGGCTGAGCTGCTGCGGTCATCTGACCGTGTGACGGGCACCGAGAAGTTGGATAACCCAGAAGAAGAAAACAAATGCGTAATCAAGTAACACCCACAGGTGGAAATTCCCTCCAACTTCAGAGTCCCGGACCTAAACAGCTGCTTCTTCCCAAGAGTGCGCCATCAACAAAAAAAAGTACCACAAAGTGTGTGTGTGTGTGTGTGTGTGTGAAACCATCACCCAGGGTGCAACATCAACAAAAAAACTGTACCACAAAGTGTGTGTGTGTGTGTGTGTGTGTGTGTGTGTGAAACCATCACCCAGGGTGCACCATCAACAAAAAAATGTACCACAAAGTGTGTGTGTGTGTGTGTGTGTGTGTGTGTGTGTGAAACCATCACCCAGGGTGCACGATGAACAAAATAATGTACCATGAAGTGTATGTGTGCATGTTGTGTGTGTGTGTACCCACAAGCACTCATGTGTGTATATGAAACCATTGCCCAGACTCAACAGCTTCAAAGTCACGCTACACTCACAGGAGCTACTTCCTTCACTATTAATACTTTGCTAAAATCCATTATTTTTTTTTCCAAAATAGGGTTTAAAGTAGAAAGCAACAGACCCCAATAACAGTGTCAGCCTTAGGCAGACAGGGACTCAGTAAGGGGTGGGAGGCATGGGAAGGTCACGCCGAGGGCTTTGAGCCCATCCATTCTGGTGCCCTACGTTGTGACCCAGGCCAGCTGAAGCAGGGGATTGAGAACAATCAGGTTTCCACACAGGCTTAATTTGGGACTCATTTCCTGAGAAACTCTCCTGCTGCTGCTGCTTGCTCCATGGTCCCATTTAGACAGGGGGAGGCGCGGGAGGACCAGGAGTGAAGGTTCATTTGCGGTGACTGACTGACTGACAGGTTTACTGAGGAATTATGGCACTGCGTGTCTGAGGGGAGTCCATCTTGGACACAACAACACAGCTACCATCTAGACCCTCAAGTACTGGGGACTGGGAAAGCAATGTTGGACAGAGTTGTTTTCTGTTGCCCTGAACCCTCGGGGTCGTGAAAGTCTCTCTCTCTCTCTCTCTCTCTCTCTCTCTCTCTCTCTCTCTCTCTCTCTCTCTCTCTCTCTCTCTCTCTCTCTCTCTCTCTCCTCTCCCTCTCCCCCTCTCTTTCATTCAAAACTAGGACAACATGAATTTTGTTTTGTTTTGGGTTTTTCAAGACAGGGTTTTTCTGTGTATCCCTGGCTGTCCTGGAACTCGCTTTGTAAACCTGGCTGGCCGTGAACTCAGAGATCTGCCTGCCTCTACCTCCTGCATGCTGGGACTGAAGACGTGTGCCAACACCACCGGACCCCCTTCCCCCCTCACTCCCGACAACATGGATGGTAGCAATCCAGTTCAAGAGTCTGGATTAGCCTGAGACTCACCCTGACAACGTAGTTGAATCTTCTGGAATCCAGGATGGCGGTCGAGAAGTCCAGCCTGTTGAAGGCTTCCCCCAAAGTACAGTAGCCATGGCGCTGCATGTGAGCGAGACAGGCACACGTTATTCCCGCCATGCACAGGCTATTCCCGCACAGTCCACAGGGACCCCATGAACATCGGGATGTCCCTCTTAGAGGACTGGGCTTCCCCTTCCTCTCTGCATCCGAAACCCGGGAGACACAGGTGGGTGGAGCAGCCCGCAGCTCCTCCAGTTGGGGACTGACCTGTGGAGTTTTCATGACTGGTACCACCCTACCTCTCTGCGCGTGCTAGTGGACAGCGCATCACTGGGAACTAAGTATATGCTACTTGGGATAGTGACAGTCAGTGTCTGCCACACACTCGAGGGAAGAGTTCATTCAGTTCTCCCTGCCTCCACCGTGACATCACCCCACACCCATTGGGGATGCTCTGCTCTGTACGGGAGAAAACAAGTTCTGAACTTTGAGTATCGGGAATAGAGACTTCTGGCATATGTATCACCTCATCCTGTCCTAAGTTCCTGGGTGATTTGGGTTTGCCCCTGATGCCATAGAGAAACGGCTGTTTTCCAAGGCCCCCGGAAAGAAACAGGAATGCTGTCACTCTGTCATACTGCCTCACTTTGTTCCAGTGAGCAAATGGCCCGTCTTATCACGTGCCACAGAAGGTGTCTGGTACAAGGACCTGAGCCCACCTACAGCACAGAGGGCAGACCCTGAAAACGCTTGCTGGATTTAATGGCCAGTCCTCTCAAACCTAACCCCTAAGCAAGGCAAAGCCTGAAGACAGCAGTCCCCCCCCCCGACAGAAAGCTGACCTCCCCCATTAGACGTGAAGGCCCGTTTTTTGCCCAATGCTCTCCTAGGAAGCAGAACATTACCGTGCAGCCCTGTACTGAGTGCTTACCTCTTTAGTACTTCCTTTGTGAACATAGATCCATTTCTCTTGATGGAAATCTACAGAGGCCAAAAATGAAGAAGGAACATATCTGAACAACGTGTAGCAGGTCTAAGACTTTAAATATGACTCACTTCTTATTTATTTTCCAGTGTTTAACATGTTTGACCAAAAAAAAAAAAAAAGACTTCACCAACAGTCTAACAGGATGAAAGTGGCAAATTCTAACGGACCCTTATATCCTACACACAAGTATGTAGACCATGTGAGCAAGATTTATGCATACCTACCTTTTCTTCCATCTTTTTTTTTTTCATTTTGCGACAGAGTCTATGCATCCTACATGGGCCTCAAGCCCCCTCTACTTCCCACGAGCCACGATGCCCAGTCCATTCAGTACTGAGAATATGCTAATTTTGCTTGTGAAAGGCATAGCTGAGTCTGCCAATGCAAAGTTCCCAGAATCCCCAGTGAGTGATACTGAAGGCACGGAGGCCGCACTCTCGATACGAGAGGACTAATTTGTTTTCAAGAACCATCCCAAGGAATCTCCCAACAGCCTTTCCTTTTCTTTTGGCACAGGCTGGCTTTGGATTTGTTATACAGCAAGGGAGATGGCTTTGAATGTCTTAGACTCCTGCTGGGCGGACCTTCTAGGGTCACTATGCCTAACTGTAGAGTACCAAGGGACTGAACCCAGGCCTGACTCTGCATCCTGGGTGGACACTCTACCAACTGAGCTCCGTCCCCAGACACCGCTCTTCCTACACTCAAAGCAAACGGCTTACACTGAGTCTTGGTTTTGCTGTTCAGTATGTCTTTCTTTCTCTTCTTGGCGGCAACGTCGTAGTTCAGGCTGTTGAAAAGGTTCTCTTTATTGTATACGTCCTTGCTGCAGTAGCTGTAAGGGGAGAGAAAAGGAATGTGACAGCTCTACTTTCACAAATAACTCACTGGGTCATAAAACACACCAACATGTATGCTTCCCAGACAAAACAAGACAATTAGATCATGTGGAAAAAATAAATAAGACACAGCAGTGGTTCTCAGCCTTCCTAATGCTGTGACCCTTTAACACAGGTCCCCATGTTATGTCGACCCCCATTCATAAAATGATTTCATTGCTACTCTTCATAACTAATTCTGCTACTGTTAGGAATCCTAATGTAAACGTCTGGTATGTGACTCCTGTGAAAGGGCCATTTGACCCCAAAGGGGTTGCGACCACAGGCTGAGAACCGCTGCCATGAGGCACAAGCGCAGACTTCTCTCTTTAGTAAAGATATCATCACCTCCTGTGGCAGGCAGGGACGGGGACATGTGTTTCTTCTGACTTCCCTAGCGGGGCCTTCCATTATAATCCGATAGAGAACGCTATACTCTAAGAGTGACACAGCCCGCTACAGTCTCGCTTTAAGCAAAAGTGCTCAACGGGAGGGAGACCGCTGGAGTCACTGCACCATGCAATGCCTGCACTCTGCAAGATGCATCTATTCCAAGCTGCTGTGGCTTCTCCCTTCCCTTGGCACCATCCTCCCTCCTTCCCGGTATCCATCTTCTCCAACCCTCAGCTCTTCTCTCTTTTTGAGACAGGGTCTCACTCTGTAGACCAGGCCGGTCTCGAACTCACAGAGATCCACCTACCTCTGCCTCCCCAGTGCTGGGATTAAAGGGGAGCGCCACCAATGCCCAATACCTTTCTCTTCTTTTTAAGACAAGATTTTACTATGTAGCTCAGGCTGGCCTTGGATTACTACGGAGCACGGGCTGGCTTTGAACATACTGTTCCTCTGCCTCAGCCTCCCGAGGACTGGCTGTACAGAATGCTGGAATTTGCAGACATGCTATCACATCCTGCCCCCTTCTCCTTATAAACAGTTTTATTGAGCTATAAATCCCATATTATACCAGTCATCCACTTTAACGTATGACCAAACTGCTTTAGCTAGTGTGTTCCTGTCCTGTCTTTAAAACACGGTGACAATTACAAAAATCTGACTTAAAAAGCCCCCTTCCGGCAGGTATTTTACACACGATGCTACTTGTTTAACAACAGTAGGGCTCAGGCTGAAAGGTTAAAGGGCGGGGTCCTAACAGAAACTGGGAAAACGCATAATTCATCGACTTAGAGGGGGTGAACAGACACCTCATACATCCATCCAATTCCTAGGTCACCGAAGGGTGGGCTGGTCCAACTTAGACCAGGGTCCCGCTTCCTTCAGCAGGCTGAGGTATCATGGGAGTATGGGGGATTGTCTCACAATCTAAAGAAAATCCTTGACTGCTTTCTACAAAAATGATGGGGAAGAAATGCTAAAATTTAACCTTTTTCTTTTTTAGGTTTTGGTTTTTTTATGACAGAAGGGACGAGAAGGCCGGAAACTGTTCTGGTATTCTTTCATTGCAACTACTGTCTCGGTAAGTAGGACTTGCCTTGACATCTTACTAAAATGCTGATACCACCCGCTAGATACCCCGTGACTACAGGGAAAACCTGACGGCCACCCTGGCCGCCGGTCAGTCGTTTACTGCGTTCCCTAACGTCTTTTGCCTTCTCCTTTTCATTCAGGGAAACAGGGTATTTTTAGACCTCAGATTGTGTGTTGCAGAAATGACGGCTCTCAGAGAGCCACTTGTCTGAGTGAGCCAAGGGTGAATGTTTTGGGTCAGGCTTTATCCAGCTCCAGAGCCTGTGTTTGTCTGCTTGCATGGCTGTGAGGGGTACAGAGTCACCGGACGGGTGGTGTTCTAGTCGGCAGGAAGAAACGGGCAGAACGAAAACCAGAACTCCGAGTCTCAGAGGCCAACCTAAAGAATTTCAGTCAAAGCCGAGGAAGAGAAAGACAGAAAGTCACTGAGTGGTCCGTGATGTCCCAAAGCTTCAGAAAACAAAGCTAGGACATTCTGTGGGGAAAAAAAACCCACAGAGAGGCTTATTTTTAAAGAAAACTACAGAGACACACAGCCCTACAAGCTACAGTGAAAATTCCACACCTTGAGAACAACAAAACAAAGCTGTCTTATTTTAAGTCGTACATAGAAGGGTCTGCAGCAGTTTTCCTTCTTAGGCACAGCTAGTGAGCACTCTCCCCAACTTTTCACTGTTCACACCTCATCTCACACTTTTCTAACAGAATTGAGGGGATCTGAGCATGGGTTTTCCTCACAGCCACTCTAATGAGCTGCTTTAAGCTGGACTGACTCCTCTCAAAAAGCCAGCTCAAGAAGAATTTCACAGCATTGATGATAACTCTACTGATGCAGAGTACAGAAAAGTTTTAACCACAGGGAAACCCTGCACGTCCTCATTTCCTCATTTCGTATTAGGGTTTGAATTCTGGTGGCTGGGCTTGGGAGCAGGACTGTGAAGTGTGTGCTGTCTGCTTATGTTTTCTCGAAGCAATAATCTGTTCAGTGGCTATTTTGAGACTTCAGTTACGTTTCCAGGAAATGCAAAATCACAACTCAGATGTTTAACAAGAAAGACGACCACCGTTTACAAATTATAGCACATATAAAAAATATATCTAAAATAAGCAAAACCTTCTCAAGGAGGCTGCCTTACCAAATGCAACAGTAGTCACTGAACTGTAGCGTTCTAACTGCTTCTTACTCATCTCGAAGTTTACAGGCCAAGCCCTCCTCCACCCAGCAAACATTACCATCAAACATATAGAAAATACTATAAGGCACCAGAGGTGGGAAGATTTCAAAATAAGACCATTCTGGCAGCAGATAAAGGAGGGCATGGGAAACATGAGCTTTATTTATCTCATTTGTAATTAAGAAAAACATTTCATAAAACCCTGTCCTGACCCAAAACATTTCTATAGCTCTGATTATGGTCAGTGAGATTTTGATGTTCATTTGCTCCAAGTCGTACCCAGGTTGCCAAGCTTCAAAGGACTCCTTCCTGGACCGATTTGGAGAAACAGGCTAGTTCAGGACGCTTCTTACAATACTGCTCACAAAAACATCTCTACGATGATTTTTATTCAAGGCATGAAGACCAACTTCCTCCTTCCTGGGCCGACCTTAGTAATACACAGTATGCATCACTGGAAAGGGCTTTTAACTGCAGAGGTCCAGGCTTGGAGAAGAGAGTTGAGATTACTCATCCTGGGTTGGGGGGGGGGCGGGGCTGGCGGGGGGGGGGGGGGTTGGGGAGGAGGCAGTGTGGGCCATTTCAACCACCACTTCCTTGAAGTATTCTTGGATCGCTCCGGTTAAAAACACTGTTGCTTCCTTGAAATTCCAATCTGTCTCACTTGCCATTGCTCCTTTCCCTTACTGTCCCAACTTTTTTAAGGGACCGGCTTTAGGCTTATCTGAAGCCCGTGATCTCAGGAGGCAATTGGTGGCTTTGAGACGGTAACATTTGGCTGTTGGAGGACAGGGCCCTGGACCACGGGGACAATGGCCAGTGGAGTCTGGAACAGGTGAACTGTGCAGACAATTCAGGGTTCCCACTCAACAGTAACCCCCAAAGTACACCTTTATTCTTCCCCCTTGCTAGGCAATTTACAGGACGGCCCGTGGGATTAGAGAAGCAACCTGTGCCTTGGTAGGAAGTTCAGTTTACAGTCACTGACCTTCTCTTATAAAGGAACTGCCTTTTGTTTTCTGAGAACAAGGGAGGGTATTCAAGCTCACCTGTTCAGCCAGGCACTGGGCCCAAACCTTACATCACAGGCAAACCAAGCCTGGAAACAGTGGGATATTTGAGATCAGGAACCCAGCCCTCAGGAGGCCGCTGCTTTTAAGAAGTTGGCAGACTCTTGAGTGAAGGAAGGAGGGGATTGTTTACAGTTGCTGGGGGAGGGGGAGGAATACCCTGCAAACGGGCAGCTGCTCCGAGAGGCAGATGACTAAATCAGCCCTCGACGGTGACTCAGCAGAGGACTGCAGGTGGTCACTGTTATCACCGCTAAGACAATGCTGGCTGTGGGTGACAGCTTCAGTTCACAGGTGTGACAAGCAAACAAAGAAAGAGGGTCAGGACAGGCCACAGTCCCAGCCTCCAGAAACCATCGGGGGTTTATCTCACCTTCAGGGAGAGTGGGGCGTCGCTGTTTCTAGTCTATTCGGAGTAAGAATGGAGTGAGAATCCAGATGAACTGCGGTTTCTGCACTTTAGATCTGGGCCCACTGAAAACAGTGAACTGTTATCCTATTTTATTGGGGTTAGCCACTCTGATGCAGCTGGCTGGACCCTGCAGCATCACCCTGGGAGAAACTGAGCTTTCTCTACAGAAACAAGAGGGCTGGGATATTAGATTCTGGCTCCCAAGGAAGATGGCTTCGTGCAGGAGACGTCTCACTTAGTTGAGGAAGAAGTATTAGGTATAACTGTTAACTCCATTCTCTAGAAAACCTGTCAGGTGACCACAATTGGCAATTTATCTGATTCTTCTGTAAATACGATTTTCTTTAGCGTGTTCTAAACTCCCCTGGGGCTGCCTCAAAGGACCCAACACAAGGGTTAATAAATAGATTCGGAGTTCTTCTGAAAGGCCCCGGTTCAATGGTTTCTGTCACCTCATTAACAGACAAAGGGAATTCAAGCATTACAAATCACAAACAAACGGAGGCCTCGGAGGTCAAGCAGCCCACAAAACCACAAGTTTCTTGATAATTGCCAAACCTTTATTCAGACAACCCCTGGCAAATCTCACTCCGTGGAACCCGGCCCACTCACTGAACTCTGCAGAAATCAGTGTTAGGATGCGGGGCTGTTAATCAAAGGGCAGTGGACCGGGGAAGGCACCCGAGGGCGACCTCAGCTGCACCATTTTTATCGCGTCCCTCAGGTGTCTCAGACAGCCGGCTGGGGACTGACTCTCGAACTCATAACTTATGAGTGGGGGCACTTGTTACCATCTCAGATTTTCCACCAGACGACAGAGCTCAGGTGGGACCTCAAGTCCGGGCGGTGTCTCTGCAGCTGGCAGGTACCTCTAGGGATGGGATTGTGCTCACCGACTACCGGGGAGGACCACGGAGGAAACAGGTGCAAGGCTGTGCGCGCCGGTTTCACCCCCTGCCTCCCTGCAGCCCCTAAACGTTACCACCCCCACCCACTCCGCAAATCTGCCCTGGAAGGCTGCTGTCCCGGGGCCCACGCCCCTCCCAGTCACTCTTTTTCTCGGCTCACTCAGCCATCGACTGCGCGTGGGAAGAGCCTCCGTGCACTCAGGGCAGGGCCCACGACCAGACCATCATCCGGCTCGTGACTACCGTGACTGCTCGTTCTCCTTGGGTCCTGTCACAGGACAGCGAAGGGCACACAGCCAACTCGCGAGCGCCCACTTAAAGCAGTAACTGTGCAACTCCCGGACCTAAAGGCTCAGTCCCTGAGTCGTGCGCTCGAGTCCCCAGTGATTAGGGACATGGTTCCCAGTTGCCAGACTGAGGGATCCGGGTTCTGTAGGGAAGCTTTTTGTCTGGGAGACAGCAAATTACCCATCTCTTGTGTTCTGGCGACCTTTGCAGAAACCCGAGCCCCTCAGTCCTCAGCCGAGGCCCCCTCTTTATCCTGGCCCAGCCCTGCTTGCCTTCCTTCATCTGCTCCCGCGGTGCGCGCCCCGACACCCCCATCCCCACCCCCACCCCCGCCCCCAGACCAGCTAAGATCGGTTTTGTGGGGCTGGAAGTCGGAGAATGTCCTCACCTGCTGAGGTCGCTCACGAAGCTGCCGCTTTTCTCATCCAGGAAGCGCTTCCAGCCGTCCGCCGTCTTCACCCAGCTCTGGCCCGGGGACCGCCAGTCCTGCCCAAGGAACGGCATGGCACCGAGCTCGGACGCGATGGACGTGCAGGACGGATTGACAGCCGGGGACCGGCCTTGCTGGTCCTGGGGATGCGCGGCGCTGGAGAGATGCTGGGGGGAACGCAGGCGGCGACGGGAACGAGCGTGGGGAACTGGGGCGGAGGGTACCGGTCTGGAGTAGGCGCGGGGGTCCCCGCACTCGCAGAGGGCGCAGGCGCCGGGGAGGGTCTCGGGTGGCGTCCGACTCCGGGAATGCTGCGCGGCTGCCGGGGCGCAGTATTTATCCCGGGCCTCTGCCCCGGCTCTTTGTTGCCGGAAGAGCCGCCTGCTCTTAGCCCGGCCCCCCGAGGCCCCGAGGCCACGTGGCTTTGTTTATGGGCTCGCCTTGTTTTCCGTGGCGCCCGCGGCTTTCGCTAGGCTCATGGTTGCACAACCTTGCGCCCGTGGAAACTTGAAGCCGCCTGGCCAGGCCAGATGTCCCGCTGTCCCTCGGTCCCTGGCACCTCTGCACCCCCTTCCCCCCCGCATCTCCCCCACCCTCACCCCGGGCGTAGCTGCCGCTACCGAGATCCCGGCCCCTGTACTCGGCGCTACGTCCTCCCCACGGCTCCAGGACTAGCTGGGTGCAGCTAGGAAGCCGGCTCAGAGGCTTGGGAACCATCAGTTCCTAGGTGTCTGGGGACATCGGGACCGATCAGCACAGGGAAGGCCGGGGTAGGGTGAGGACGCAGTCCCTGGACCTCTCCGACTGCCAGTACCAACTCCAGGCGCCAGGATGCGCTAAGGGGGACCCGGTGCGGCAGGAGTGGGGAGGGACAGCCCCCACCCCTTCTGCCTTAAAGCTGTCATTGATGCAAGAGCGGTCGAGTTCGACTGCTTCCGCCCCCATGGCAAAAGAGGGGGAGGCTGCGGCGTCTGGACCACAGGGTGTAGAAGAGTTGAGACAGTCCTGGGCCCCACCTCGGGGGCCCGGAGCGAGCAGCGGGCAGGCGACTGAGGCGCCTGGTCAGAACAATGCTGCCAGTGCCCTGGTGTCAGAAGGAGCCTCTTCTCTCTCTGGCTATGCTCACTGTCCCTGCTCTAGTGCCCCGGGGCTGGAACCCTCCTCCCTCGCCCTTTCCACAGTTGGGCTCCCCGTGTCCTCCAGCCTCCAGCTATGAAGTCGTCTCCTGGGTTTCACACTGGGACCTGTCTGGTGTCAGCATGGTTTTCAGGTGAACGGCTGATGGGTTAAAACTACCCAGGATCTTATGGCTATTTTTTCTCAACTAATCATCCCCTTTCTGCAGAATATAAACTCCTGTTTTATTCCAGAGACGTCTCAGCCTTAACACTAGGCCCAGAATTGGCTGCTCATAACCACCCGATCGGCCCAGTCCCCCTGGTGTGTGTGTGTGTGTGTGTGTGTGTGTGCATGTGAGTGCGTGCGTGTGTGTGCGTGCGCACGCGTTTGTCCTTTGGTGTGTGTGCATTTGTGTGCATGTGGAGGTCAGAAGTTAATGTCAGGTGTCTTCTTTATCACCTTTGGCCTTATTTAATTTAATTTTGAGATACACTCGCTGAACCTGGAGCTCGCCTATTGGCTTGCCCGGCAGGCCAGCGAACCTCTGGGCTCTCCTGTTTTTTGTCTCCCAGTACTAGGATAAAAGCACGATGCATTGCTTTGTTTTTAACACGGGTGCTGGGGATCTGAAACTCAGGTCCTCACGACTGCTCATCAAGACATTACTCAGGGAGACACGTCCCTACCAAACCATCTCAGCAGCCTCCCCACAGCCAGTTCTTGTATGAATAAGTGACTACTGCATCAGGGTGGGGTGGCTTCCCATCTCACTCACTGGCCTCCGGCCATCACTAGATAGACCCGCAGTGTCACATTCATCTGGGGCCAACGGGGCACCGTTAGCAGCGGTGAAGTGAAAAATCCCATTCCAGCTGTTTCTTCCACACCCCTGCCTCTGCAGCCACGGGCTGTGTCTCTGCCGCTGTGCCCTGAGGCTGGGTAAGCAGAGAAATGGGGGGGGGGTGGACTCTGTGTTGCTAGGGGGAAGGAGATATTTTCAATAGAGCCTTCCTTCAAGTAGCCAGGACTTTCTGATCTTGGTTTCCCACAATGAATAATTTATTAGTGCAGCGATAGTAAAAATGGCTTGTAAACGGACCACTGCAGAAGATCCCAAACAAATGTTACCCCCTGATCAGGCTAAGAGATGAGGCAGCGCTGGGTCTGGGCTCTGTTGGAGGAGAGCCGGTGTGGGTCACCAAACACAAGGGATGTGATTATTAAAGATGCAGGGGGATACTTCCAGGAAGAAACCACGGAGGTCCGGAAGGCAGAGGATTTGAATTCTAGCTTTGCTAAAGCAGCTTACACTGTGCCGGGTGAACAGCAAAAGGCTTCAGTTACTGAAGACAATGGTGCAGGGGATGCCTGCCTTTCAGAGCGTGTAATGGTTGGGTTATCGGGGCCACGTCTGCCCTCTCTGTGGTGGTGATCTGCATCCACGCTCTTGGCCTGCCTCTTGCAGGGGAGTGGGGGAAGATCACTTGAAATTCTGAGTATGTATTGCTATCATGATTACCGCTGTGTCACTGGATGTGCATTCGATGGATGGGGATGGTAAAACCTTCTCCAGGTTAGGCTCCGGAGATTGGCAGAGTCTTCCTATGTGTTGTGTAACAGTTTCCTCCAAGACTGAAGCATCCATACTGCAGGGAAGCTCTTTTGGCAGGTAGGCAAGCAATTCCAAACGGCTTCAGGAAGTCCCTGAAACTGAGCGGATTCTCTAGGCCCCTCCCTGAAGACTGCGGGAAAGTCGCTCTCAGAGAAGCCATGTGAATAGAGACCATCAGCCAAAGCAAGCTGTAAAATTGATTCCGAGACCAGACAGAGAGGAGACAGACGTGGTCCCCTAGGCAAGTGTCAGTTTCTAAAAGTGTAAGGGGAAACCCCGGGTTAGGATGAGGTGTTTAATTTTAATTGGGCATGTTAGCTATGTGAGCCAAAGGGGGCTTTTGTTTGCTGGACTTCAATATATTGATAACTGAACCTTGGTAGTCACCCTCTGGAGGAGGATGTGGCCAAATAAGGAATGGACCTTGGGGGCTAGCTTTGGGAATACAGTCTAAGGGTTGGCAAGGCAGAGGGAGTGGGGGACAAGGGTAAGGCCTGTCAGAGCCATGCTCAGCACGCTTGGGTCAGCCAGAGTCCCTGCAGCTGATGGTCAGGAAGATCAAAGTGGCTGAAACTGATGAACACTTTTTTTTATCTCTAAAATTCAAACAAAAGTAAAACAATCACCTTTTCCCCTATCCTCCCTCTCTCCCTCCCTCTCTCCCTCCTTCCTTCCCTCTCTCCTTCCCTCCCTCATTTCCTCCCTGTCTCCCTCCCCCCACTCCTCCCTTTCTCCCTTCAACCCTCTGTCTGTTACTTTCTAAGAACTACACACCTACACTCCAGAAGCCTCAGCATTTGCCTTGAGTCCTTCAGCTTTTTCCTTAAAAACAGATTTTTAAACTCATGAGTGTGTGTGTGTGAGATGTGGGTACTGGGAATTTAGCTCAGGGCTTCTGGAAGAGCAGGCTATGTTCCAACTCAGCACTGTCGCCACAGCTTCAAGCTTACCCCTTCTTAAAACAATAAAAAATATGACTATCATACCGAACTCCGACTACTTTGAAAGTGTAATCGACCGTTTTGGGTGTCCTCTACCATGAAAAGCCTGACTGGAAGACAGGTTTTGACTAGGAAGACATGTAATGCTGGGCCCTTTAAGAGGAAGGACTTGTTGGGCTGTGTCTGGTTGCAGCTCAGCTACCTTCACGTTTGTTCCTGCCCTGACTGTTCAAAGACCGTGACTGGAAGCCGCCTTCTAGCTGCACATCTGGGAATCACCAAAGAAAAGCTGTGGACGCTATAACATTAGGCTGAAGATAGAGGGGGGGTGGACGCGGGCTCGAAGGCTCTCACGGGTCCAGTCTGCTAGGACTAGGTGCCATTACCACACTACCTGCCATGATGCGTGATGCATGGCAGGAATCCAGTTAACAAGTCAACAGATGTTCGTTTCCTGCCCTGGAAGGCTGCCACACCCATGACTTACACCTATAGTCATTTTACTAGGGACACTGTAATAGTGTCCTGTCCTTGACCTCACAATTTCTAACACAGACATCTCACAAGTTGGTGAGGAAAACAGAAAGGGTTAGTTAGAGGTGGCTACTTGGAAAACACCCACGTGAACGTGCTATTTTGCTGATGGCCGATGCTGGCCGTGCGGAGGCCACCGCCGAATGCTTCGCCAACCCAGTCTTGCTCAGTCCTCCTCGAAAACCTGTGATCCGGGATGAGCAGGTCCAGACTACTTCTCTCCCAAAGCCTTAGTGGAGAGTGGAGAGATGTCTCACGGAATTGCAATGGTATTTTGTCTTGTTTTGTTTTATCATAGTCTGTGTTTCTGAAAGGGCATTTTTTTTTTAAAAATGGGAAACATACCTATCAGCCAATGTTGTAAGTTAAAAATAACTTGCTGGTTGGGTGGGGCAGGGACAAGAGGCCACAGGATCCTGTTCAGGTTAGTGACTTTTTTGGAGACCAACTCAGGGTAACACACTTGACCTGCTGGTGGTGTCACAGGAATGTATGTTTAATGTTACAACAATTTGCACATGGCCTTACATATGGGGTGGGGCATCCTTAGAGTGGTGTGAAATACTTGTGCAGTGTGTGTTGTAGCAGGGCTGGCCAGCCATGAGTTATTTTGGAGGCTCTGGCTGCTGCTAAGCTCTGCCAACTAAACTCAAGTCAGTCAGACATATGTCCCTGAAAATATCCTCATTGCTTTAATGAGGATCACGTGGCATCCCTCAAGCGTGGGCGGGTCTGGCTCTGCTTAGGAGAAAGAGTCAAGTGTGTTTTTGTGGTAACTCTTTGCTCTCCCAGAACAACTGCACATTTTCATTGAAAACGCTACCATTTGAATGCTTTCCGTTTGTTTGTTTGTTTGTTTGTTTTTGTACACCAGGGTTCAAGCATGGAGGTCAAAAGGACAGTTTGTGAGAGTTGGTTCTCTCTCCTCTACAGTTGGGGTGGTTGGGTCCTGGAGAGTCAAACTCAAGTCATCAGGCTTGGTGGCAATCACCTGCTAAGCCATCTAGCTGGCCCTACTTTGATTCTTGCATAGGTGGTCAGAAGCATTTAGAGACAAGGCTAACTTCTACATAATCAAGGAAATAGATGAAACACATTCACATTGATGGAAGGACAGATGTCTATCAGTGACTTACTCTCCTTTAAAACTAAGTTTTATGGGGCTGGAGAAATGGCTCAGTTGTTAAACGTTCATACTTCTTGTGGTGTGAATGAAAATGGCCTCGTAGGCTCATAGGGAATGGCATTATTTGAAAGGATTAGGACATATGGCCTTGTTGGAGTAGGTATGGCCTT